TTTCTCCATTTAGAATGATGTTGGCTGTGGGTTTGTTATATATGGCTTTAATTATGTTGAGGTATGTTCCCTCCAGTCCAATTCCCTCTAGGACTTTGAACATAAATGCAAATGAATTTTGTCAAAGACCTTCTCTGTATCTATTGAGATGACCACATGGTTCTTGTCTTTGGGCCCATTTATATGATTTATGATGTTTATTGACTTACATATATTGAACCGTCCCTGTATCACTGGGATAAAGCCGACTTGATCATGGTGGATGATATTTTTGATGTGTGTCTGTATGCGGTTTGCAAGTATCTTGTTGAAAATTTCTGCATCTGTGTTCATTAAGGTCTATTGTTTTCTTTTTTGGGTGTATCTTTACCTGGCTTTAGTATTAGAGTGATGCTGGCTTCATAGAAGGAATTTGGAAATTTGCCCTCCATTTCTACTTTTTTGAATAAACTAAGTAGTATTGGATGTATCTCTTCTTTAAATGTGTGATAGAATTCTGCTGTAAATCCATCTGGTCCTGGGCTTTTTTTAGTTGGGACATTTTGTATTACTGTTTCAGTTTCCTTATGTGTTATGGATATGTTTGAGCTGTTGACAGTTTTGGTGGTTCCCATGCTTTTAGATACCCTCCCATTTCTTTTAGTTTAGGTTTTCAAATTTAGTAGCATATAGGTTTTTAAAGTATTCCCTTATAATGTTCTGGATCTTTCTTGTGTCTGTTGTGATGATCCCCCTTTCATCTCTAATTTTGTTGATTTAGAGGTGCTCTTTCTTTCTTTTGGTTAACTGGGCTAGTGGTCTGTCAGTTTTGTTTATCTTTTCAAAGAACCAGCTCTTGGAGTTGTTGATTCTTTGTATTGTTTTCTTTGTTTCGAGTTCATTAATTTCTGCCCTGATTTTTGTCATTTCTTCTTGTCTGCTGGGCTTGGGTTGCCTTTGCTGTTGCTTTCATGTGTGTTGAATTGCAATGTTTAGTCATTTGTGTTCTTTCTGATTTTTTGATGTAGGCACTTAGAGCTATAAACTTCCTTCTAAGGACCGCTTTCAGCGTGTCCCAGAGGTTTTGTTGTGTTGTATTGTCCTTTTCATTTAATTCCAGGAATACTTTTATTTCTTTCTTAATTTCTCTTTTGACACATTCATCATTCAGGAGTGTATGGTTTAATCTCCATGTGATCATGTGCTGATTAGGGCTTCTTCCAGTGTTGATTGTAAGCTTTATTGGATAGAGGTCTGATAGAATCTTTGGTGCTTGGGTGGAATACTTGGTAGATGTCTGTTAAGTCCATTTTATATATGGTATTGTTTAATTCAGATGTCTCTCTGTTATCTCTCTGTCCTGTTGACCTATCTAATGGAGATAATGGGGTATCGAAGTCGCCTACTATTAATGATTTTGGT